TTACTTTTTAACTTCAGCATCACTGCATTTAACATGACCTGAAGGTCCAAACACATAAAAGACAACCCAATGAATAAGAATATGTAGCTGGAATACCTGCAACAAATCTCAACTTCTATTGCTTGCATTGCATCATTTTGTTTTTGGGTGTCAAGTGTTGTAGATTATTTAAACATTAGTTTTTATTTTTCTTTTTTTCATCTCTTCACCCTTCCTCTCTTTAGGCTATTTTCTGCTGACAATACAAAATTTGTTTTGCAACTAACAATTTTCTTCTTTTGGTTCTTAAATTCTACTCCTAAATTGGTAATTTTTTTGACAAACTTAATAAAGTTGATTTTTTCTTTGCTTGGCTTTACGAATGACATTAGGGTATTTTTGTTTCTATTTTTTAAAACTTTTGAAAACAAAAAGTAAAATAAAATTATCCTTCAAAAGATGAAAAAAATTCAGGTTTAAGTCATAGAACTAGTGCTCTCTCTCTATCTCTCTCACATTTATGTTTTCTCTACTCTTTCCTGTCTAATTTTTTTCCTTCTCTATTATTGTCATCTATTTATTTTCTCTTTCTACTTGGATCTTCTTGCTTCTACTAGATGTCCATGAGATTTTATGCTTGCATAAAGCCTATAAATAACTTTTTTGCCGTATAACAAAATTGGCCTAAAAATAGGAATAAAATTCATAATTAGTTAATTGGTTCTTGGTTTATTCACCTAACATAATCTTCACTTTATAGGTGACCAAATATGGACAAGAGTTGGATGTCCATTAGAAATAGATTGAGTTCGGAGTACAGATAAGGGGTTAAGTCATTTCTCCAATTTGCAATGACAAATGTTGGCCTAGATAATAGAATTCGTTGTCTGTGTATGGATTGCCTAAATTTTGAACATCATACCATTAAGGATGTGGAATATCATTTGATTTGAAAAAGGATGTCGCTTTCATACAAGACTTGGGTGCACCATGGGGAAACTGTTCCTATCAATCAACCTCATGTGTGGAATAATGACAGTGAGGTTGAAGGTGTTATTGATGAAGGGACAACCAATGAATGCCTTGACCTTGAAGATGAATTGTATGATATGTTAGAAGACCATCACATGGCGAATATTTTTGATGATGATGAAGAGGATGACTAGCATGATAATGAGCAAAGAGGATTTACGGAACTTTGATAAATTGTTAAAGGATGCTCAACGTCTGTTATACCTTGGATGTCAATTGTTTACTTTGTTATCGTTTGTCATTAAGATACTTCATATGAAGTGTTAAACAAGTGGAGCAATAAGTCTTTTGACATGTTGTTGGGTTTATTGAAAGACGTTTTACCAAAAAGTGATCAAAAGGTTCCATGGACCCTTTATGAAGCCAAGAAATTTTTGTGTGACTTAGGTTTAGGATATGTGCCTATTCATGCATGTAAGTATGATTGTGCTCTTTTTTGGAAGAAAAATGCAAATTTAGAAAATTGTTTGATTTGTAAGGAGCCTAGATACAAACTGAATGATGGCAAAGGTAAGAAGATCCCTTATAAGATTTTGAAATATTTCCCATTGACACCAAGGTTGCAAAGATTATACATGTCGAGAAAAACAGCTATAGATATGAGATGGCACAGAGAAAAACATGTTGACGATGGCATATTAAGGCATCCAGCCGATGGTGAGGCATGGAAGGACTTTGACAGGCGACATACTGTGTTTGCCCAAGAACCACGCAATGTGAGACTAGGGTTGGCCACCAATGGTTTCAACCCTTTTGGAAATATGAGCAACTCGTATAGTATGTGGCCAATGGTAGTTATGCCTTATAACCTGCCACCGTGGAAGTGTATGAAACAACCATTTTCCATGATGTCATTGCTTATTCCTGGACCGCAAGCACCAGAGAGAGATATTGATGTTTACTTGAGACCATTAATTGACGAATTGAAGGAGTTATGGGAAGATGGTGCAGTTACATGTGATGCCTCAACTAGGGCAAGTTTTCGAATGCATGCAATTGTTATGTGGACTATTAATGACTTTCCAGCTTATGGTAACTTGTCAGGGTGGAGTACAAAAGGATATTTGGCTAGCCCCAATTGTAATGAGAATGCATCATCATAACAATTAAGAAGTAAGATAGGGTACACTGGTGTTTGCTGATACTTGCCTAAAGACCATCATTGGCGAAAAAGTAATCTCTTTAATGGTAAGCCAGATGATCGAGCAAGACCTTTGGAGTTTTCAGGGGAACAAATATTAGATCAACTGGATTCAAGAACATTTAAACCATTTAGGAAGCATCCAAGCAACCAAAAAAGAAAAAGAGATGAAAATACAGTACTAAATTGGACAAAGAAAAGCATATTTTTTGAATTGCCTTACTGGAAGACACTCAAGGTACGACATAACCTCGATGTCATACATATAGAGAAGAAAATATGTGACAATTTGATTGGGACTTTGTTGAGCATTGATGGAAAGAACAAAGCACGCATGGATTTAGAGGATATGAAAATTAGAAAAGATTTGCACTTAAAGAGGCGCGTTGATGGGTCCTTTGAAAAGCCCCTTGCATTGTACACATTGTCCCTAAAGGAAAGACAAGGTTTTTGTTCATTCTTAAAATCAATTACGTATCCTGATGGATATGCAGAAAACATCTCTAGGTGTGTGAGCACTAAGGGCGACAAGTTATCCGGTTTGAAAAGGCATGATTGCCATGTCCTTGCACAACAATTTCTTCCTATTGGGATGCACGAGTATCTTAACAAGGACATTTCTATTGCATTGTTTGAGTTGGGAAATTACTTTCAAGAGTTATGTTCGAAAATTTTGAGGGTGAATGATTTGGAGAAATTACAAGAAAGCATCGTACTCATACTTTGCAAGTTAGAAAAAAAATATTCCACCTGCATTCTTTGATGTCATGGTCCACTTAGCTATTCACTTGCCTCGCAAAGCCATTCTTTGAGGGCCAGTGCAATATCGATGGATGTACCCTATCGAAAGGTATTATTATGCACTTATTGTCAAATTATTTTTTTTAATATTATAGTACCGTATATGTGGTTTGTATAGTAATTTCATGCTATTTGTTGAAAATTACTCGGGATTTTGAAAAGGGTATGTAGCGAATCGAGCTCACCCAGAAGGTTCGATTGCAGAAGCTTACATTGTCAAAGAATGCCTCACTTTTTGCTCTGTGCATCTTGGTGGGATTGGAACCATATTTAATAGAAAGGAAAGAAATGAAGATGGTGGTGATGTTGGCATGGGGTATTCAGTTTTTTCACAAAAAGTCCGTACTTTTGGGCTAACTCAAAGGGCACTTGACGTGTCTAAGAATGAAACAAAAGTGACTCAATGGTTTGTCTTGTACAATAGTCCTGAAATCGATAAACATCTAGAGTATGTTCTCATTGTTCTAATTTAGTTAACTATATGCAAAACTTTTTCGTTATGGTCACACTCAAATAATAATTATTCACATTTTTTTTAAAGTAAAGAACACAAGAATCAGTTACAGAATGCAAATGTACATGACATTACAATACGGCAACAAGAAGAATTTCCTAGGTGGTTCAAAGAGTGGGTAAGATATATAGATAAATATGTAATAAACATTATAAACATAATTCAATGTTCCTAGATTGATATTAACATCATATATCCTTGTCACATGTTCATGTAGATAAATCAATTATGAGCTGAAGGATCATCAGAAGCAACTGATGAGTTATGGTCATTAGCTAATGGTCTTGGTCCTATGGTGAATGTTTATTCGGGTTGTATTTATAATGGCATTCGAATCGAGACAACCTTCATAAAAGTCAAAATAGTGGTGTGGTCATTCAAGGGGATCATCAGGGTATGTCAATTGATTTCTATGGTCACTTGACTAAAGTTTAGGAAATGACATATATATTCGGGCATCGAGTTGTGTTGTTTCAATGCGAATGGTTTAACACTGGTAGCAGCAGAACATTTCGCACTGAAACACATCTTAACAACCATTGATGTAAGAAGTCGTTGGTATCAAAATGACCCATTTGTCTTACCAAGTCAAGTGCAGCAAGTTTTTTATGTCAATGATACCAAATTAGGTGAACATTGGAAAGTCGTATAGCGACTTCAACGTCGAGGAATATAAAATGTGCCGAAGCTTAAGGATGTAGATCCCAATGATAATGAATTGCCTATTCCGAATAATGTGTTCCAGCAAGACGAGACCACTGAAATTGTCCAAATCACCATTGTAGATTCCATTAGCAACATTTTATGTTGGACTGATAGTGCACTTGATATTATTCCAAGTGAAGTGGTTCTACAATCTGGTAGAGGTGTATATGTAGAGGCTGCAAACATAGATGATTTTATCTGTGATGATGATAATGATCAAAATTCAAATGATCCTAGTGATGATGAAGATGAATTTCGTAGTCATAATGACTCGGATACAAATGATGATGTAGAACCTTGATTGTAATGTCCTTTACTATTTACATTATGAAGTCATTTTGATTATAATGTCCTTGATTGTAATTGCATGCACTTGTTAATGAAGTCATGTTTAGTTATGATTCAAATTGTAATGAATTTTTTTGTTGATAATTTCATTAATTGTAATGTAGTTATAATATTAGACTTGTTAAAATCCACCTACTCTCCACCTACTTCACCCACTTAAACCTACTCCACTAAACCTAACCCACTACACCACTACCACCTCACCTACTCCACTAAACCTAACCCACTACACCACTACCACCTCCACTTCACCTACTCCTTACCTACTACACACTCACCCTCTTCTATATATAGGAATCATGAATCATTGTAATAGAAATTAAAAATATCAATCAATAATACAATTCTCTATTTCTCTTTATACATTAAATTTTCTACAAGACTATTAGCTTATCTTATAATTTCATGAATTGTCACGCATTTTAAATATTTATTGATGCATTGCTTATAATTTATTTGTTACATACAAAGAATATACATATGCCACATGGGCAGGCCACTAAGAGGAGGTCGATGAATTCAGTGTCAGAGGCAACCCCGACTAAGGTCCCAGCTCACTTGTCAACATCTCCATCATCGCAGACAACTGGTATTTGTAAGTGTTTCATCCTTTGTATAGAACAGCTTGATTCTTGCACCCACCATTGTAATTTATGTTGATTCTTGTCATGTATGGGACTGAGGCGGCGTGCTGTCACATCCACAGTTCTGTGACAGTGAAACGGTACCGTTTGGCTTTTAGTCCATTTATTTAATAGAAAAACCCTGTGACCCACGATGCTGTTAATAGGTTTGACCCATTTATTTAATCAGTAACATTTAGCCATTACATGAGTAATGACAATATGCACATATTCAAGTAATTTATCCAATTGGATAATGAACTGATTAGTCTCAATTATGTTTATACAGGAATATATGTTAGACAGAAAATAATGATAATCAGCACATGATTTGATGAAACTTCCTTGCTTCTCTTTGTCACACAAAGATGATTTGATGACTTGTACTGTATGTGTCCCCATGTAAAGTCATATGGAGACTGGATAAATCTAATGTCTATGCAGACACTGAAACCAGGAATGATTGATTATAGAATTCCAATCAACATAAAATGTACACTGCATGTCTCATACTTAATTAGAAAAGGCCCCACTTGTTTCTACTAATGCATCTTAAACAAGCATACACACATGCAACAGGTTCAATTCAACTTTGACATAGAATGTACACTACTACAAAATGTTCTTTACTTCTTCTTTCCAATTTTGTTGATTGACTTCTTGATTCACATATGTTATTTAAATAGATGTTCAAATCTGCTAAACAACTCTTTATATGAAACTGTTAAATTGAACCTCTTAAACTGTTCAAATCTATTCAAAATCTGTTCAAACAGCTCTTCTTTCCAAACTGTTCAAAAGCTGTTCAAATCTGTTCAAAATCTATTCACATCTATTAATCTGTTCAAAATCTATTAATCTATTCACATCTGTTAATCAACATCCGATCTTTCAATTTTATAGACTGCTGTTAATCTGTTCACAGTAGTAGCCAGCAGCAACCTATAAATAGCTCTTCATATGAAATTGTGAAATTTTGTGTTTATAATATAGGCTCATCAGTGAAGCGAGTATGAGGTCCGACGAGGGGTAAGAAGACTAGTAGACTTATCACCCAACATGGTGGCAAGAAGTTTTTTGTTGGAGTTTCTAGTGAGCGAAGAACATTTGTGGCTCTTAATGCCACTAAGGCAGCTAATGAATTGGGGGCACAAATTCAATTACAAGCCCCTTTGCAAGGAACAGAAAATTGGAAGGACGTTCCACCAGCCATTCGAGCAGCTATTGTGCAATCCGTGCAGGTAATTTAATTGTTATAGTTGATGTAAGTAGGTTAATATATATGATGTTTGTTTACTTGTCTAATTATTTAATTGGGACAGGATAAGTTTGAGGTTAAAGGATATGATGAGAGCCCACTTACACGAGAAGTTATTGACACAAAGGCCATACATTTGTTCAAAGGCTGGCGATATCATATGAATCAACATTACAAAGCGTTGGGGAAAGCAGGGACAGATCCTTATAGTAACCCATTTGTTGGAGTGAGCGAAATAGATTGGAGGTACATGATTGATCATGTGTTTCTTGGTGACACACACAAGGTAATTAACTCAACACTCGTGAATGTTTCTTCTAATTGCACCTTAAATCACCATTATACCTTATTCAATTGCACTACAAATCCATGGATGTTTAAATTTCTTGTAACTCAAACTTTCCAAGTTTCTTTGAAATTGAAAGAATGGATGTTGATACATACAATTATATATGGATGTATATATATATATATATATATATAACAAATGAATGTGTGTGCTATAGAGTAAGGAAATTACAGAGAGAGATAGAAAGAGAGGAAACTGAATGTGTGTGCTATAGAGTAAGGAAATCCTTCTTTTGTCTCATCTTCGTCTGCACCTATATATCTTTGTCCCGCCTTCTTGTGTTGTCTTTGTCCCAGTTTTAGCTCCTTTACCTGCTACCTCTTGCTCTGCACCATCTATATTTGCTACCTCTTTATCTAAACCATCTATACCTCCTACATCTCTTCTTGCACCAATTATCTCTGCTATCTGTCCAGATCAGTTTCCTATATTTTAAACCATTAGTTTTTCAAGTTCTAGACCTTCAGACCAGACTCTGTTTTCCCTTGCTCACATCCAGTAACTGAGTACCCTTGTCAAGTTTTATAGCATTTGGGATTATTGAAATTATCTAAAACTTTGTGGCAAAATTTCGTTCGCTAGTAGATCAAAAAAATATTGGCTTTGATGGAATTGCAAATCTGTTTGCCAATTGTTTGGGATGTTTCACATGAGGCTCACCAAGGCTTGTGAAACCCTGGGACTGCATTACATTAGCATTATTTAACTTCATTAAAGTTAACTTGTTTAGTTTGCAAGGTATTTGGATAATTTGATCACTTCACACACTCATGAGGGGTAATTTTAAAGCCAAGAAACTAATATTATCTTCACTAAAAAATGACTCTTGTTCGAGTATCATATGAGAGGGCTATCAGAACTCTAATGATCCATCTCTCTGCACTGAACAAGTCCACTGATAAGAGTATTCAACAAGTCCATTGATATGTACAATCCTTCATTCATTACTTGCAATTAAATCGTGTTACATTGTAATGACTGTGTGAATAATTCAATGAAACAAAAGAGCACATCCGCCCAAAACAAGACAGCACAGTAGCATACAGCATAACAACAGATTAGCAAAATATTGCATTGCAGCGGACATATAGCAGATGCATTAAGGGAACCAAAGGCAAGATCTTTTGTTTTGCTATTGTGTTGTCTAGCTGTGCTGATATGCTGCAATCTGTTCAAGTATTTTGGGAGACATTCTGCTATCTAGTAGTCTTGAGATAGGTTTCATTTGTGTCATGTTTTTTGTTCAGTTATTTTATGTTAGATATGGATGTTGAACAGAAGTATTGGGTTAGATAGTTTAAGGTTGCTTTGTGTCTAGATGCTAGCCTTTTGTCTTAGCCTTTTATTTTGGATTTAGTTGTTCGTCTTTTGCTTTGTATAGTTCTGCAGGGCCTAGGGCATCCCCCTTGAAATCTTGTATTTTTTCTGTTTTAATTTATGACTTATTCACTCAAAAAAAAAAAAAAATAATTCAATGAAAATGAAATCTTCATTTCTTGTTACAAACATGGATATTGATAAATATAATAATATTTGTATTGCATTGTAGAAACAATCAAAAAGGGCCATAGACAACAGAAAAAAGTTACCCTATAATCACACCATGGGTTCAAGGTCATTTTCAGCAACAATCTCAATTAAGGTAACATATTTTTTATTTTAAAACTATTAGTTAATGTTGCATTTTTTTATTAATAATATTGCTAAGCTTGCATTTTATATTTTTAATGCAGGGAATTGAAAATGGCAAGGAGCCTCACATCGTAGATTTTTACAAGACCTTATATTGGAGTAAGAAAAGAATGATTGGATTGAACCAGTTTGTTGGCTGTTATATGTAAGTATACCTTTACTATATTTGTTATTCATATTCCTAACTACTTGTTTTTTGTTTTCTTGGATTAATTACACTTTACCTCCTCCTGGTTTTACTCAAAAGCACTTTACCCACCTGAAGTATACAAATATATACACACAGTTATTAAAACTACACATATAATCCCCTACACAACCCGTACAAGTAGGAATTAATACTTGAGACCAAATTAACCACCAAAATAGAAATAGAGTTCTACACAGTAATTAAAACTACACAAATTTTCCAACCAATAACATGATAGGGCGCATGTTGCAGCCACCACCAAGTTAACAGTCTATTCCTTTGAAGAACAAGAGAGACATTATCCATGGAAGGGCGCCCATTGCAGCCACCTCCAAACCACCAAACCAGTCCCAACAGCTTTACATGAACCTGTCCAGAAAATAGGTTCAATGATTAATTTCCAAGACAACACAAATTGTTCCAATCATAAAGCAACAAGAATAAATGTAATTAACCTTTTTTTTTTAATTGACAGGAGAAGATGGACCAACTTCATGAGAAAGTTTCACAGTCTGGAGCAGCTTCACAGCCTAGAGCAACCCTGCTGACACAGGAGAAAATTTCTATTCAAGTCCTTGGAAAGAGGTCAAGGTATTTGAAAGGTTTCAGGGTTGGTCCAAAGTCGTCTTCCACTTTCAAGTCTACAGCTAGGTCACAAGCACATTATGAAGAGGTTAAGGGCCTTAAACAAGAGGTAGCATCACTGAAATGGATAATTCAATCATACGAAGGACGCTCTGAGCAGTTCAAACACTTTATGAGACAAATGTAGGGCGATCATAGTGGATACAACTCTTTTGATGAGTAAGTACTTCAAATTTTATTACATATATTAGTGTTTTTAAAATAATAAATATTTTATGACTAACCAATTTCACTTGTTCCCTTTATGCATGTTGTTGAAGTAACTGTTAATATTTGTTCCACTAAAGATATCTTTAATTTTCTAATCAGGATCCAAATCCTTAAATTTTTAATGAGTTTGTATCATGGGGAGGAAACTTAATATATGTTAAGTGAAATCGAATATGTTAAAATCATCATCTTAATACAATATGTTAAGATGTGATCATGACGTTCAAAAGGCTCTATGTGATTGCTGATAAGGCTCTATGTGATTGCTAGTTTGGGAGTGGAATTAGATCCACATAATTTTACAAAATTAAATAGAAGTGTAAGCAAAAATATTATTATTAACACTTTCTTCATTTTTTTTCCCTTGCAAATAGCTAGAAGTGTAGTCATGTGTGTTTATGGACATGATCAGTTTACCCGTGTATAAATTCTAAGTTATGCTTATTGTAGACTGCACGAACTCCGCTCCGCGCGCGAGGGCGCAAATTGTGGTTCTAGCTACTACAGTTCGGACTCCTATCACGGTTCTGAATCTAATCTCACAAAGTGCAATGTAAGACTGATAAATCATCAAAGAGTCCAAATCCAGCAAATCGTTTTGGAAAACTGATTTTAATCAAGAAGTGTCAAACACGGACTGCTTTGCCAGATTTCAGAGTCGCCACCTAAATGTTTTGTTTTGGGAAATTTAGGAAACCATGACTCGTGCCTAAGGCCATGTGTCTGTCATCATCAAAGTTACGTCGGCTCGAGAACTTGGGTACGAGAGGGGAAGGTCTTGAAATGAGCACCCCCGTTCGCCCAATCAAAGATCGACCTGTTATTTTTTAAAACACATGTGCTCTTATTCCGGTTTATTAGCTAGCCAGTGATGCGCACAGCATACAAGCATAGACTAAATCACTCAATTTGGAACAAAACATCTCATGTTTGTTTTTCAAAAAAAGGTTTGAAGTTGCTACCCTCAAGTAGGCTAAAATGCGGATTTGCCACCCTCAAGTGGGCTTAAAACATGATTTTGCCACTCCGCAGAGTGGGCTTAAAACACACATTTTGATGAATTGTTCCAATTCAAGCAATGAAGCCTTCATCCACAGGCATTCATGCAGTTATATCAGTTAAGCACATAGCCTCATAGCAGACATGCTATACATGGCAACCACTTACACACATGCAAGGATGCTAAGGCATAAACACTCACAGTGTACTCCGAGCCAAAAAAGAAGCTAGTTAGTAATAAATGCGTGATCCTAGCTATGTCAATAATGCCTAATGCAACACATGCAAAATGCAGCTAAATAGGCTCGGCTATCTAAGATCACATATGAATGCAACACTCGATAACATGCTTTGAAACACGTATTCAAGTAAGCATCGAAATACAATGCAGTTTGAATGATGTGCCGAGTCTGGTGCATGCAATACGAATGAATGATGCACGCATGCAAAGCATAAGTATGCTAATTGAAATATGCCCTAAAACTAACCATCAAAAGCTGGTAAATAAAAGGAAGAAAGACGTGGGGTTGGAAGACATTCACACACACACGCACACTTGTTACAACAATTCGCCCTCTCGACGGAGGGTCCGAATGAATAAGCTAAGCTAAGCTAATTAATTAATCTAATTAAACTAATTAGACTAATTATTACAAAACAAAATTAATTAACTATTCCTAGTTAACAAATTATTACAAAACGAACCAATTAATTAAACGCATTAACTAATTAATTACAACACTTTTACAAATAAAATAACAGATTATTCTAAGTTAACAAAAGCACTGAAATGGCCTCGTGACGAGGGATGCATGCATGCTCGGTCGGCTTTGCTTGAAAATCCATTACCGTGCCTCATGATGCCTCTGTTTGCACTCTTTCGTACTTTTGAAAATTGTTCCAATTTCCAAAATGCTTCTGGTTCACCTTAGGAACATGCTGAGGGATGGTCGGCCAAGAGGAATGGCTATCAGCCAAAGTTGATAGTCGATCGGCAGTCTTGGTGGCCGGTCGGCAGCTTTGATGGCCAGTCGGCCACTGTTTCCTACAATTTCTCCTTTTGCTGCAACAGAGCACTAATAGAGGCATGGCAGTGTATTTGCAAGAAAATGTGTGTGCAACCACACCCCTTATCATGTCTCAAGTTCAAAGGAGTGTAGTGCTCAGCTCTCGAGCATCAATCACGCATCTCAATGCATGATGGCCAAAGAGGCCAAGTTGCACAAGTCAATGAATGCACAAATAGACTCGATGAGCCTCCATCCTATCATGCACGATCAAGGGTGTCGGCGACTAAGAAATGAGACACGTTTAATCACTTTGAGTATGAAACATCCCTCGTTTCTCGTGTTTGGATTAACGTCCGATCCAAACACATGCAATGCAATACAAACATGTTATCTTGGCATGTTTTACTTCAATTCAATTTGTTTACTCATTTTAGATTACTAATTAATCCTTTAACCGGTTAAGTCCAAAAGTAAGAAGTCCTCTAAATGGAAAGACGGACTAAGCCTCAAGCATCTTGAGCATGAAAGAAGCATCATGTTGTTGGTTAGTAGAAACCCTCAAGAGAAGGCTAAAACTATTAGGCATGAACGCCTCGATTTCGTGCTCAAACTAACAAAGGGCTTAAAACCTCTTTCAAAGCGATATAACAAATGAAGAATGGGATGCAAAAACATATATTTCAGCACTAAAATGGCATCCAAAAGACACTAAATCATGCAAGACATGTTAAAGGCCAAAGGTATTGAAACTAGTGAGGTGTACTACACTAGAGGCATGCAACATCAAACTCAAATGGCCAAACTAGCTCTGGACAGAGCTAAATCATGCTAAAACAGAGGCCTAAATACTGTAGACACTTCATTTTTTACCGTCCTCAAGACTCGGTTGTGCTTGCAGGTACATCCGGACACAAGTTCGATTGCTCGGCGGGTATTCGACTTTTGCGGCGGAATGTCACAGGTTCGAGCTTTCCAAACCCTGTATCCTTTCTGCCCCATTCTTGGACCATGACTTGGCCCTTTCAGAATGTGTTTCTTGGTGCACTGCCAACCACCTTTTGGCCCTACCGACCTTCACTTTGTTTCTGCCGGCCATCAATGAGCCATTGCCGGCCATCCCTGATGGCCGGCAGCACCCCTGTCTCAGCAGGTTTCACTCTAGATCTTTTGAGCCAGCTGGAATCCTTTTATATGTGTATGGAGGATAAAGCTCTTGCCAAGCTTCTTGAAGAAGCTTTGCATTGCTTTTCTTCTATATAAGGAGAGATCTCTCCTTAGCAGAGGTTGAGCATTTTTGACAAGAAATATCTCTCTCTCTATTTATTGTTGTTCATTTGTGCCTTGAAGTCCATTTTCCTTGCACTTTTACACTACAACACTTAGAGATACACCACCATCTTTGGGTTGAGGTTCTTGGGAGGACTTCTTGAGCTCTGAAAGTGAGGTTTTACCCCCTGAAGTTGCTGGTTTCGAAGTTGATCTTCAAGGGTGAGTTTCTTCCCCTTTTTAGCACTTTTTTGTACCTCATTTTGGTCATCCTTGCATATTGTTTTAGGCCTTGCTTTCAACTGAAAAAATTCTTGTATTTAAGTGCTTTTGAAGTTTGTTTAAGGTCTTTTGGCTGTTGAGGGTCTTCAACCCTCTTCTTGGCCTTGTTTGGCCTTGTTTTGAGCCATGCCTTAAAGCCTCCGAGCTAGCCTTGGTTTGGCCTTCTAACCACTGAAATCCAGTGGATTTTTAGTGGTAGGCATGTGGTTTTGAGGCCTCAAATTCGAGGGGGTGACCCGCTCTCTTTTGATTTTTGTTTGCTTGCATTTTTGGCCTTTCAAAGGAGCATGCCTCTCTGTACTTTTGAGGCTTGGTTCAGGCCCTTTTTTGTGACTTTTAGGACCTGCCTTGGCTCTGTCCATGGCTGGTTTGGTCACCTTTTGCATGCATCTTGTATGTGTAGTGTAATCCCATTTGTAGCTCATCAAAGTAGCATGTTTGCCTAGCTTGTGTTGAGTCCATTTCAGTAGGTTTTTGGTGATGTTTTACCATGCCTTAGATCTGTTTTGGGTTGGTTTTGTCACTCCATGCATGTGCAATACACTTGTAGTGTAAATCTCATAAACTAGCTTTATATGCTTCTTGCTTTAGCATGTCATCCTAGCTTATGTTCAGTCCATTTCAGCATGTATTTGGTCATCATTTGGCATGTCATGACTCTATCTTTTGCTGATTTGGTCGCATTTTGCATGCTCGATATACTTGTAGAACAAATCTTACTTACTAGCTTTTTGTGCATGATGTCTTAACTCATCATCCTAGTATATTTTGGCTTTGCTCCAGCATGATTTTATTCTTATTTCATTGCAATGAATTTTTCATTATTCTTTTAGTCAACCAAACATGAGAACTGAAAGGAATCTTTGCACTTTATTACAGTGAACCAAACACTACCTTAGAATTTCATGTGACATTTTATTGCAAAAGATTAAAACATAGGGAAAAGGAAAACAGGGAAAGAAACTCAATCAAATTGCCAAGTAAATAGTATGGAAGTAAACAACATTTTTCCTTCCTCTAATCAATCATTAATTTGAAGACACTGCAAGTTGAAATTCCAAGCTAATCTAAATATGCAAAATTCCTTTCAATACAGTACACCACCTTTATGGTAGTGATGTCGTAGATACAATTGGTTGTTGGATGAGTTTTGGTCAAAAGTCTACGCTTTTTTGCACTAATTTTTTCAGCCAAGCACATCTTGTAAGAGAGAAGTTATATTGCAAGGAAAAAATATAAGAGAAGTAGAAAGAAGCAAATCTATGTAGAACTAAGTTAGAAGTTAAAGACCCAAAATACAGGAGAAGCAAATCAATTTCCAGCAACACATAAAACATATTTTCAGAAACTTCAATCCCATCCCATTTAGACTATTAACTCAATAATTTCTGAAAATCTATATAAATATAAAAAAATGGCTGGTGTAGATTACAAATATAAGTAGAACATTTCCCAAAGAACTTGAAACACTTTAAGCAGGACATCCCTAATTATTCCGACAAAAAAAAAGGGCCATTATTGACAAAAAAAGGCCATTATTAACAAAAGTTATAAAGCTAATTCATATACCATGAATAAAATATATCATTGAAGGAATTAATAAAAAAATCACATAGATATGCAAATGCCAAACTAATAACCTACAAATCATTTTCCGCCATCAAATTTTACGAAAATTAAATAATTTATCAAAATGAGTTGTGTTTTCAACTGAAACTATCAATAAAACACATCAATCACTTACTACTTTGATTCGTAGAATCTATTTATTAAATGAACAAATAACAAAAGATTTGCACATATACACAGTTTGAAAATAATAATTGGACTCCAAACATTAAATAAAAATAATGAATCAGCCTAAAATTTTCAAGTATTTGTAACACAATCTGACTATAACATTAGAAGAAAATATTAATGAATCTTACCATTTTTCTTACAAATTAATAAATCCTAAAATTTTTAGATATGCCACATTATCCTAACTTGCCAAAGTGCAAATGAGTAGAAACACATGCAGTAGTAAAGTCAACAAATATATACTTTTGCACCTGAAGTGGACAAATAGATAAAAAAACAAATGAAAAATATATATTTCATAAAGTCAAGCTCCATACAACCAACAAATAATTTCATCAAAAATAATTCTTCCCCTGGGTGGTCGACCGCTAAAACATCTCCAATATATAACTAAGCTAACCTTTTTTTGACAAAAGACAGATATGAAAAAGAAATATTTCAATGTACATAAGAAAATATTATGAGCATTGAATTATTAACCTTAAAAAGATCTAAGAATTGACTTTCCAAAAAATTTTCATTTTTGGGAAAAAAAAAAAATAAAAGAAAAAAGGAAAAGATAAAAGAAATGTCATTGAAGAGTAAATACTTGTTTTAGGTATATCATGTACATACACTAAAAATTTTTGATTCAAAAGATTGGTATTACTTAATTTATTTTTTTTCTTCTATAAATTGGTTTTGCTTCCTCTTTTATCCCTAGTATTCAAATTATCTGCCATTCAATTTAAGAAAAGCAAAAACTACTAAAATGTAATTGAAAAATTGCAAATAAACACCAACAATGTCTTACTCGTTATGATCTTGTGCGGGAAACTAAACACCAACAATTTAATTCTTTTAAACTCTGTTTGGATCATGAACTTGAATATGGATTTGAAAAAGAAAATAAAAATGAAAAAGAAGTATTGTACTGAATTTTATAGCTAACCCACATAGATTACATTTTCTTAAACAAAACCAAGAAAATCTAGAGTAGGGATGAGGTTACCAATTAAAATTTTATTCAAGTCTAAGCATATGAAAGAAAAGAAAAAAAGAAGCTCATCATACTGCAAGGTTTTTTCATGAGTTGAACTATTTTATTTAGAAGTTGATCAATCATGCACTCAAATACTTTGAATAACACAAGAAAGTGATGTCCTCAATTTTGATTATGTTCGCAAATCCATATTCAAACTCGCAACTCAGTTATTATTCAATCACTCTTCTTGGACAATGATGGCTAAACAAAAATCAAAATTAAGTGTAACAACAAACCTTATTTACATAGCAAAGAAAAACGCAAGAATGATGATTCTTAAATTTGTTAAATTCATTCAGCTTGGTTTGTAATGGGCAATAAATTATAAATACCACCTCATCACATAGGTTATCTACTCAATGCTCTATCTAATCATCTCTTCAAGAAGATGACAAACAGCCATATTATGATTGTCTATTTGTTACTGTTTCCATTGGCCTTCTGACCAAAGCAGAGGAAAGAATGGTGTTATCTATCCGCCAAACCTACAATTTTATATAATGCTCCAGCTAATAGAATGTAGTTTAAATTCGTAAAGTTTTATTTACTTCTTTTCACTACTCTATAAGTTCACCAACTAAGCAAACTCATGCGTAATTTACACTAAGGGACATGATTTTTAGGGGAGGAGGAAAAAACAAAAAAAATAGAAAAATAGAAAAATCTAAGATATATATAAATGAAGCTAGAGGAAGACAAAGATGAGGAAGAACAAAGATATCATATATTTACCATAGGTCTCAATGGCACTTCAAAATTGAATGAAGAACTATAATAAAGCTAATTAATGGCACATTTGAATGAAGCATCTTTTGAAAGCTAATTAATGACACCTAGAACACTATTTTTTGTAATTATTCATGAAACAAACAATAGAAACCAATATGGTGGATACAAACCAAACTGTATAAAAAAATGTAGTGAATCAAACCATCAATTCACATTAAAATATACAAAAAAAAATTGTCCACGCCTACAACATATTTCTAGCGAATTGTAGGCAAAATTAATTATCTCATGGTAGACAAAAACACAAATAACTTGCGACAAATCCAAATCCTCCAAACAACACATTTCACCAAATCAAGCTCACTACCAACAACTAAATAACAAATCCAGTTAACAACAATACATAATAACACCTAAAAAAAAAAAAAAACTCTAGATATATTTTATTAACAAATAGCCATGTATGCTCACACCTAACTCAAGATATATTTTATTAAAGGCCAATCCCTTAGTTTAGATTCCAAGTATCATGGGAATTTTGTGGATACATCTTTCTTGATGGATGTGATTTATCTGTTTAGATTCATCAGTTTGTTGATGAATCCCCCACTTTCCCAGCAACCAAACAGGACAAAAAATATTTCCTGGGTTCTTACCAAATAGGATGGAAATTTTTTCAAACACTTATTGGCCAAAAATAGCCCTTTATTACTGTTCGATTTCTTGATTAATACCCCAAAAATGTTTGATTTATTGATTAAATCAATCAATAAATGACTAAACAACAAAGAAAATTTCCAAGTGGGGTTGGGAAGAGGGGGGGACTGAGACCTTGAGGGGAAGAGAGAGGTGTTACCTGAAGGCAAACAATCTTGATGCTACCGATGACAACCACCGAAGCAACGAAGAGCCGGTGAAGCAACAAAGAATCATCGAAGCAGTGATGAGGAATGGGTTTGAATACAACCATTGTAGCAATGAAAGAGAGGGTAAAGATTATTGAAACATGCTGGAAATTAAAGATTATTGAAACAGTATAATACCACAAATTAAAACCAAAGTATGAATTTAAAAAATGAACTCATGAATTTAAAAAATCAAACAGTATGATACCACAATATAAATTTAAAAATCAATTAATTTAAAAAATTAACTCATGAATTCTATAGAAAAATGAAATGTGGTTTAGATTTAACTGAGACAAAATGTAAGAAAAATAAAATAAAATAATGATCAGACTTATAAATTTCCTACACAACCAACCAAATAAATAATCACATAAACTGTAAACATCAGACACAATGTTTCAATCACAAATTGTAAACATCAATAAAGCAATTAAATTGGACAAACATATTGATTATTGAAATTAAAGACTATTGAAACAAAAGATATCCAAAGATAGAAATATAAATACTCAAGAAAAATCAAAGCCCAGGTTTCCATTTTCCCCATTGTTTGCTCAAATATAAAGTGTATTAACTGATGTTTACATTCCCAAAATATAATGGGGAAAATTTTCATTCCCAAAACTACTGATGTTTAATAAACCAACTAAAAAGCATCATATGAACACAATGTGAAGTGAAGCAAAATAAAGCATCATAGACATTATCCCCAAATAAGCACTCCATTTGTAAACATTAAGGAAATTAATACAACCAAATAAGCAAAAGAGAAGTTAGCAGCCTAAGAGAACTGATAAACCAAAACAAAACAGGTTTTAAAAAAAATTAAATATTAAAAAAGCTTTATCATTATTCGAAACAGGCAATTGTGAAGTCTTTTGGACATTTACCTTCATGAAACCCATACACGGGCACAGGATTCCAATACAGCAGTATATGCTTTCAACCCAATTTTGGTTCCCAAATACACGGGCACAGGTTTTAATTTTGGTTGTCAAATAAGATGGGTTTGCTCACCTGAACAGTATTTCTACCAGATTCTTTCTTTGTTGAACACCCTTGTATTCGGTCTTCGTCTTTGGGGCTGCCACTGTTGATGACGATTGGGATGGCAGAGAGAGGAGGAAGAGAGAAGATGAGAGTAATAGGGGGTTTGGGGTTCGGTCGCCAGCAATGGTTGGGTTCTAACATGGAAGCACGGGAATGGGCTCCAATGGAGGTAGAGAGAGAGAGAGAGAGAGAGAGAGAGAGGGTGTGTGTTCAAAATTTGAAATCAGGGGGTTTGGGGCTGCCACTGTTGATGATGATTGGGATGGCAGACAGAGGGAAGGAGGAGAAGAGAAGAAGAAGAGAGCAATAGGGGGTTTGGGGTTCAGTCGCTGACAGGGAAGCACGTGAATGGGCTCCGAGAGAGAGAGAGGGTGTGTGTTTAAAATTTGAAAGAGGAGTGTGTTCAAAATTTGAGAGGAGTGTGTGTGTGTGTGACAGAGAGAGAGAGAGAGAGAGGGTGTGTTGAAAATGTAAGGTGATTGCATTTTGGACCAAATAGAGAGTGAGACATTGTGAACCCTTAGATTGAATTCAATCTAATGGTCCTGGTTTTTACAAAGGGACAAAAGTCCCATCAGGAGTAAAAAACAGAGTTTTTTTGTTATATAAATTTTAACTAATTGATCACTCATCAAGAGTAAAGTCCCATCAATCAATTGTTGAAACTAATTGATTAAGTATAAAAAATAAAAAAATTATAATTTTGTTTTCTAAATTATTATGTAAATGAATTATTATATATTTACTCATATATTTCCCACTTTCAACCCAATATATATAAAAAAAATTAACTGGAATATTAATTATGAAAAATGTGTATATTTTAAGTGATTCCAAATAGATGGTAGTTATTGTGTTATTGTGTTTGCATCTATAGATGCGAAAATAACTAAAACTTATTTAATAGAGCATGCTTACCATCTTGCACATGATCGGCACCACTATATAAGCAAATATAACTAAAATCAAAGGCTTATGTTTCAAATTCTAGGAAAAGTTAGTGCAATTTACATGCAACAGTTTTTGATAAAATCAGACAATATAAAATCACATCCAAAGAACAAAATATCCTCACAATCCCCGGGGGGGTGGGGGAAACCAATATAAAATCAGACAATTCAAGAAATGGGTATTAATAAGAATCGATAAACACAGTTCCAGATCTTCAATTTGCAAAACCAAAATGATAAAATAATAATAATAATAATAATTAAAAAGAAACAGGATGAATCAATGAATGAATAGAGAAATGGACCTGCAAATAGAACTGGTACGAACATCCATCCAAACAATGGCGTTATAGAGATGGAAAGCAGTAGATTTGCTCCAAACGACCGTTGTTTCTCTCTGATTGGTGAGTCCAATTGCCTTGAGTCCACCGTCAACATTGTACCCATCTACAGTGACTTTGTCAATTGTCAATTGCCTTGCTCCCGAATCTCCATTGGATCGTGCTCTACCCATCTGCAGATTCTCAAACAAAACAACAATAAAAAAACAGAGCAATCACAGGGAGAGAGAGAGAGAGAGAGAGAGAGAGAGAGAATTCTTCATACCCTGCTTGTGGGTAGAACTGAGTGAACTCGACCTAGTGAGATCCAATTGGGTGGGCATTTTTGTCGTAGAGAATGAATTTGGTACTGGTGGTTCCTTGATTAATTGACCCAATAAACACATTCTCTTTCGACATTTCTATTCTTCTCTTCCTCCTTCGAAGAGTGTTGTGTTGCGTCTCAAATTGACCAAAAAAACAGAGTTATGAAGACGGGAAGAGAGAGAGAGAGAGGGTGTGTTCAAAATTTGAAATCAGAAAAAAAGAGATAAGAGGAGTAAGTGTGTGAGAGAGATACATTTTCAGCCCTTGGATTGAATCAATCTAAGGGTTCACATTTTGACAAAGGGACAAAAGTCCCATCAGAATTCAAAAACTATCCTTCCTTATTATATAGATTTCCCACCAATTAAATACCAGGTAATAATGTTATGGGTTACTTTTTATCAATTACACATTATTAAATCATGTTATCTTTCTATTGACCAACACAGATTAATTAATCACTTTCAAAATTAATCAAAATAAAAGAAGACAAGACCTCAAACATGTGCTCTCAAGTGTTAAATTATAATTATCAAACACCAAATATGAAATCATCAGAGATAGTAGTGGAGTCGAAATGTACTTTCAGTTGAACCGGACTTGACTCATAGAGGGCGCAATTAGCGGCTCATTCTCAAGCGGTGAAGTTAATTGTACTGGGGGGTGTTTGGTGTGGATTATAGAAGATGATTATAGTTTATTTTAATTTGAAAATTTGTGCCAGACTGTTTGGTGCAGCTTATGTTTATAGTCTTTTAGGCAAAAATAGCTTAAATAAACTGAGAAAACTGATTATTTAAAAGTTGAGGAAGGGGTACTTTTGGTTTCTACTTTACAATTTTCAACTTTTAGCTTACAACAAGCTACACCAAACAACACCACTATACTCCGATCATGACTTTGCCTCCTGTGCTAAAGGTTGATACATTTCTCTCTTCCCCTAATAGTAGATCTCTTCTTTGGGGTTAGGTTAAATCTGACTGTAGTGGCAGGCCAATTCCCTTGAATTAAATTAAATCTGACCGACAACCGATTATTTCAAGATCATGATCCATAAACGCTGTGATACTTTCACGGAACGTCTTCTTTTCTTTTCTTTTTTACGTAAAAAAAAAACACACACGCGCGCACAAATATGAAACTCAAATCTAAAATTAATTTAAAAATTAAAAAAAAAAACGCCAAATATGAAACTAGTAGTAGCTAAAATACGACGTCGTGCCTTAAACATTATACGACGCCGTCCGGTCCACACACTCCCAGGTCCGAAAAATCAGAGCGAAAGCAGCCTGCTTCTCTCTTCGATCCACTCGAGCCTAACTCCAATTCCTCTCACACTTCTCTCTACCAAACCAAACCAAACCCTAGACACAGAGAGAATAGCCATGGCGATCCGGCACCTCCTAGCCCTTGCTCGCCGCTCCCACAGCCGCCCCCAATCCTCCCTCCTCCGATCCATTTGGCCTCCATAAATTACAGTAATACTGAACCACAAACAGAAGGAGGCTCCGATACCAATTGTGAGAATTAAAATAATATTAATTCAGAAAGAAGAATACCTCCTGCCATGATGTTCAAGTCTTTGAATCTTGTTCTTGAATGGTCAAATCTTAAATGTATAAACAAAACCCACTCACTGAACACTTTTACAGAACCATATGGGAAAAGTGGAAGGAACAGAAAGTACCATTTTCTATTTTTATATCCCATTTTCTTCTTTGTTTTCGTTCTCGTTGTTAGGTTTTTATTCTTGGCAATCCCGTTTGACAAAACTCCTTTAAGTTGTATTTGTTTTTGCATTTTTTATTTCAATGAGGTTATGAGTGTTTAGATTCGAATCCAACCCGAATTGTGCCTTGCAGAGAAGTTTGTGATATTAATACTTTCAAGATTACCACTTCGCTGATTATGACGGGGATCGAGCTGCCCGGTCAGCTCACGGGAGTCTAGGGGGCAACGCCCCTTGGCAGGTCCGGGGCAGCACCACGGCGGGGTCGAGGGGCAGCGCCCCCGAAGCAAAATGCAAAAA